GAAGCTATAGCCACCCTAAAATTCACCTTAGCTCTCTCCCCCATAGCCAACTCTCCCAGTGCCACCCTGTCCAAGCCCCCTGCCTCCCTCCCAGGCTGCTGCTGCCTGCCCCGTACAACTGAACCCACCCCACTCCCACCTGTAGCCTGCAAAGGTATGGTGCTCCCAGCCCAGCCCAGCCCAGCCCAGCTCAGCCCATGGAGCCCATGTCCCGCCTTTGTCTGAGCAGCCCCCGCAATTTTCTGTCTAGCCCATCTCAGCCTAGTGTCAAACCTATTTGATCTTCACTTTTGCTTCTAATAAATCTGTTTCTAGACACCTAAATTGGAGCTTTGCTTTTTCCTTAACTCCAAGTATTGTGAGCACAGATTTTCTGACAACAGCACAAAGTTGGTAAGAATCAGCACCATTCCTTATCAGCTGACAAAAGAAGCAAGACTCTGGTTCCTAATGGTCCAACAACCTTGCATCATTTGAAATAGAAGGCTTTCTTCTAGGTTGATTCTAATAAGAACTTTTGGCTGTATTTTGGTCTGTTAAGTGCATGTCTACATGTCACCCTATGGCAGTGGTGGGCAATTATTTTGGGCGGAGGGCCACTTACCAAGTTTTGGCAAGCTGTTGAGGGCCACATGGGTAGCTCTGCCCCTTGACAGGTGCCCCGCCCCCTGGTCACCATCTTGGGACCAGAAGTCCTGCCCCCTAACCCCTGACCTTTGCCACCAGAAGTCCCTCCCCTTGCCCCCAAAAATACTCCTTTCAGCAAGGGGTTTTGCCATCTCAGAACATGAAAAATACCAAATTATATTCTAAAAATTGAACATCTACAACATTCATTAATTTGATTTAAAAATATCTTTGTCCTGATTTACATGTGTGTATAGTGTACACAGAGCTGGTTGCACAATAGCTTAAAATGAAGTCTTACTGGTATGTTGTGGTCATGGGGGTGTGTATAGGTTTGTGGGGGACTGTGGGTGTGTGAGTACATGGGGTGTAGGGAGGGTGTGGGTGTGTCAGGGGGTAGATAGGTGTGTGGGGTGTGGATGTGGGGTGAGGGAGCATGTGGGTGTGTGTGTGGTTATGTGGGGTGTGGGTACGTATGGGGTTTGTGGGGGATTGTGTGTGGGGGGATGTGTGTGGGGGGAGGGTGACTGGGGTGTTTGAGCTGGGGGTAGGGTTCTGCATGTATGGCAGTGCAAGGGGGGTGTGGGTGCATATGTATGGTGGGGTGTGCTTGTGGGACTCATCCTATGAACACACACACATACACACACTCTCCCTCCTTCATTGCACACACACACACTGTGCCTCCCTCACTACTACTTTTCATTCCATCCAGGAAGAGCGCACACCAACTGCTGAAACTTCCTTAGCCTGACGAAGGGTTTTTGAACCCGAAAGCTTGCTTAATAACTATTCTCCAACCATTTGGGTTGGTCTAATAAAAGATATCAGATTCACCCAAGGAACCTTGTCTGCCTATGTCCTTAGACCAACACGGCTACAACCTACACCCCTCCCTCACTACACACACACATTCTGTGCCTCCCTCACTACACACACACACACACTGCATCCACTACACACACACACACACACACACACACACACACACACACCCTCCTGCTGCTGACCCCAGGGTACTGGCATGGGCCCCATGCTCCTGTGGTCTGTCAATGCAGTCCAGGGCCACGTGGTGCTGGAAGCTGGCATGCAGGGAAGCAGTGAAAGCAGCTGCAGGCAGAGGTGGAGATGGGAAGGGCAGGGGTAGGAGGGGGCTGCAGGGGGTTGGGCTGGGCCAGTCTTGCTCCTGGGTCATGCTAGCTTCCCCTGGGTCCTACTGCCCCTGGTTCCTGTCATCTTTGACAGGCAGCCAGGAGCAGATAAATATTAATTTTCTAAACTTTTTAGGTGCCCAGCGGGCTGGATAGAATGGTCTGGTGGGACGAATCTGGCCCATGGGCTGTATTTTGCCTGCCCCTGCCCTATGCTAATGTAGCAATCATATTCCAATAAAAAATATTTCTTTCCACATAAAGCTTTGAATTTGTTTGAATATAACATTTAAACCACATTAAGTGTGCTGTATTCAATTTTTTTCCTAATCAAATATTTTAGCTTAAATACTTGCAGCTATTGGGACATAAAATCAAGATGGGGATACTTTTTTAGTTTTGTTTACTAAGTATAAGGCAAATAAACATGCTAAATCAGATCACGTTCTATTTAGGGCAGTGGAAAAATTTCCAGAAATACTTCACAGTACCATGTCACAGCACTAACAGTGCTAATGCGCTATTGCACAGTATTATTAGGCTACTGCACAGTAGCACCACTTAAAAGATGTTCGCCAGCACTACTGTGCAGTAACTCTGGTTACTGTGCATGTATTTAGTACTTGATTATACAAGTACTAAATAAATGCGGTAAACACAGTGCAGTAGCATCTTGTGCAGACGCACCCACTGGCAATATATAAACACATTTACATGCACATGCTTGTAATGGAGGCAATGAAATACAGGCATTGAAAAACCATGGAAATGCAGGCAATAAAAAAAACATGACTACAGGAGTTAAAGGAAGGAGAATTCACCCCTCTTTTACCCTCAAAAGCTGAGTGGTTTGGGCACGTGCCTGAGAAATTGGGTCTCCAGCTTCTCAATCCCCCTCACCTGAAAAGGGCCAACTTCCTAGCTTAAGCACCATACCATAGATCAGGTAATAACCAGGGCCCTTCTTGTTCCTACATTTGAAGATGGTCCCCTGGACAGGCAAGAAAACAAGATCTGTTTGGCCAGGAGGAAGCAGCCAAGTGAGAAGCTGTATGACTCAGTGAAGTGTGGACCCTAGGTTCTAGCCTAGGGCCTTGCTCCAAGTGAAGTAGAAATAGGGTAACCGTATGTCTGGGTTTTCCCAGACATGTCCTCTTTTTTGGCTATCCAGGCAGGTTTTTAAAATAAGAGGACATGTCTGGGTTTTCTGCTATCTGGGTCTGGCAGTTCCACGTTGGGAGCAGCAGGCAAGCTGATTGGCTGTCAGGGGTCACATGCTCCCCATGTGAGCTCCAGGGGCGGGGGGAGAGTGTAAGATGGTGGGTGTGTGCGCGATAAGGGGCTTGAGCTGGGCAGCAGAGCTGGCAGGGGGGGCAGAGGGCTGTGTGTCAGGAGTGAGAGGCACCAGCAGGTTAGGGGGCATGGGCTGCGAGTCTGGAGTGAGGGTCACTGGTAGGGCTGGCAGGGGCTTTGGGTAGGGAGTGAGGGGCACTGGGAAACAGGGCAGGGGGCTACAGGTCTGCGAGTAGAGAGTAAGGGGTACCGCCAGGTCTGGGGGGGCAGGGGCTGCAGGTTGTGAGTGAGGAGCACCACCAGGGCTGGGGGGCAAGGCAGGGGGCTGTGGATCTGTAGTGAGGGGCCCCACCAGGGCTGGGGGGGCATGGGCTGTGGGTTGGGAGTGAGGGGCACTAGCAAGGGGTAGGGTACTGTTGTTTGGGAGTGAGGAACACTGGCAGGGTCAGTGGGTCCGGAGTGAGGGGCAGCAGTGAGAGTGGGATGTGGCTTGTCAGTGGGGGGCAACAGAATGGGCAGGGCACTAGCATGTCACTGCCCTGCCCCCCCCCCCATCATATTCCTTCCCCACAACCCGCTGGTGACAGGTGTCCTTTTTTTTGGACCTGGAAATATGATAACCCTACCATAGAAACATTCCCTCTGCATTGCTATCCAAGTATTTTGTCCAATAATTACTAAATGCAAGGGATAGTAGCTCATCTACCAAAGAAGTGGGGGAGAAAGGTCTGAGTAATACCTGAACTGTGGGAGAACAGCGTACTGGGAAGTCGGAGATACAGGTTCAAAACCTTTCAGGTGAAGCGGGCCTAGAAGTTAGATCTCTGGCTTCCCAGGCAAATACCCCAAATACTCAGCTACTGGGATTAAAACATGAGAGTGGTGTCCTTCTTCCAAGCCACCACCCTCTCCCTCCCCCACTCTCCCAAACATTTTGTTTCTAGGGTTTGCATCCAGTTATATGTGTGCATAGTCTTCTACATGCACAGGGTTACACCACTGGGAATAGAATGGTTACCTGAGAAAAAATGCTAAGAATACCACATAGACAACCACAGAGAAATAGAATGCCAACTTATTGTCTTCACCAATATCAAAATAAAAACTGATGGTCAGTGTCAAGTGCAACATCTCTGCACACCTGTACACTAATGCCTGTAGACCACCAACAACTGGTAACAAGGAGACAGTCAGTAGCAGTCCTAAAATAGTGCTTCAGGGCTATACAAGGTCTTCTAGTATATCTTTTGAATGAAGGAGAAGTGAGTCAGCAATCACCATTTCATAGCAGCAGCTAATTCCAGCAATAATGATCTGTTCCTATTCTTCTGCACTATACAGTGCTTCCTGAGCATACTTCCCCAGTTGTCATCATCTTTTCCTGTGTGTTTAAGGTGTCCTGGGTCATGATGGTCAAGGATTTTTGTGAGTGATGTCTTTTATTGACTGTATAATTGGGAAGGATACAGACAAGCTTTCAGATAGCAAGGTCATAATATTTCTTCATAGCATTTCATTAAGGACTACCTACATTTACTGGTAAACATTATCTACAGATGCATTGTTAGCCTCAGAGTTGGTGGGACCATACATAACAATGGAAAAATTTCCACAGTCAGCAGAGAACTGAAAGCTGATGAATCAATCATCTGCAGAATTTGCAATGCCTTTTGGGCACTGGTTTAAAATACCCCCAGCATCCCTCACTGAAACAGCCTGTCAAGGATGAAAATACCACCAGCATCCCTCACTGAAACAGCCTGTCAAGGCAGCCTGACAACAGAAAAGCATAGTCCTTCACTTTTTTTTTTTACTATTTCCTTTCCAGAATACTTCAGTGAGATGTCAGGCACTATCCAAGGATGGTGACTTTAGGTATTTTGGACAATATCTACATGTTTCTGGCACCATTTTTACAATGCACAGCCCATTCATTTAGTTTCCTTGATCATTTTCACCACAGCAACAAAGAAACTCTTGGTCATTTCAGCTCTGAGGGCAATCATTCAAATTTTTGCAGATGATCAACTTTGTGAGAAGTCCTGTGAGGATGCAAACATAACTGTAGAAGTCATAATCAGTCTCACCAATTCCTAATTTGCAATTGGCTTCCTTTATGGAGGTATAATGTCATATAATCCATTTACTTTTCAGTTACACACTGGATACAAATGTAAATATAACATTAAAAAAAAAAAAAAAAAAAAAGACAGTCCAAGGGAAAAGTGAAATCAAAACCCGTAAGTCCAGATCCAGTGCTGGGACAACTCCAGGGAGATGCATGGACTTTTACCTCCCTTCCATCAGCCTTCAGTTTAGTTGTCAGTCTATCTTAAATGCATAAATTGCACACTATTTTACATTATTGTTTTAAAAATAAAGTTATTTTCTGTGGAAGAGTGTGCAACAGAAAGAGCAGCTCCCACAGGATCAGAGCATGTTTTAAGCACTGGAGTCTTTGGCTGTGTGCCATAGCTAGAGCTCTCAGGCCCGTAGTTATACCTCACAAGTATCAAGCCCTATTGCAAATTATCCCTTATGTAACACTCTCTAAGGCTTGTTCCTTCTATGTAATCCCAGCATGCCCCAAATATGAGAAAAAAAGAGAATGCAACAAAATTGTGTAACATGAGCCACAGACCTTGCTAAGTCCCATTGATTACACTTGTAATAAACCATAATAGACCTAATACTAGCACTATCTCCAGCCAACCAGGGAAACAGTTCTGTTTTCTAGAGTTGGTAATCTCTCCTTTGTACTCTCGTCTGGAGTGTGCGCTGATACAGTGGGTGTTTAAACCCAGGAAAATAAAGGCATAATATTGCCTAACAGGGAAATGTCTCTCTGATGAAGGAGTGCCACTGATAGACTGTGGTAAAGGAATGGCTACCTGTAAATCCTTGGATGGAACTAGCAGAGAAGAAACAGTAGGAGTTAGAAAAGTCTGTTGATTATGAGTATGGGTAGACAAAACTGGCCTGGTCTTGAGGCTGGCAAAAAACCCCAAAACTTATTGTTGTATTCATTGCCTTCAGATTTCCCAGTCCTCAGGTTACACTCAGGTAATACTGTTTTCATGCTTTTTTCCTGCAGGACTCGAAAGACTTAAATACAAATGTAGGCATCTGACTATATGCACCAAGTTTTAAAAGGTTGGATTTGACAGCTCCCAACCTGCCTCTTCACTTGGAAAACAGGATCATAATAAATATACCTACTCAACCTCTGCCTCTTAGCAGTGCAGGGTGGCATACCCTGTCAGTGTTTGCATGGTACTCTGGAAGTACAGTATATAATTCTAATATTATAAAAGCCTTAGTCTGTCTGTCCATAATGCTTCACTCACACTCTGATTGGTTGTCTGAAACAACCAATCAGAGTGGGAGCATTTGGACAGGTGTTGGCGGCTGCGCCGCCACGATGGTGGTGATG